AGGAACACAGCAGCCAGTTCCCAGGTATGTCTCTGTGGTGTCAGGTCTTTAATGGATTGGTTGATTCCTGTGAGTATTTCAGAGCTGACAAAGAATGGGCTTTGGTTGGGCACAGTGGTGCATTTATTGTACAGATTTGCTTATTTACTCTGTCATTGGACCTTTGCAAGAGCAGATATAGCTTTTAAAGAAAGAGGGATGCACATCTGAATGAGTCATAGTGTTGTGCTTTTACTTTATGAATACCAGATCACCTATAAAAAGTCCAAATTAATCAATGTTACGAATACATATGCATCCCAGTATTGGGTCCGTGTGTGCTGTGGAAGAGATGAAAGCTGCTCACTCCAATGTGATTCCTAAGCTGCTGTGATTATCAAACTCTCATCCTCAAATGACAGGGGTATATAGTTATACCAAGGAATTCCATCTGTCTGTCGGTCATTTTGAGGACATTTTTGTGTGCGACCTTTGGGCTTGAAACTATAGCATAGATTCTTTTCAAATTTGGTGCAAATTTGTATACTAATAGGAGAGGTGCACTGTGAAATTTGCTTCCAATATTTGGATTTTCAGAAAAAACCCAGCTATTTTTCATTTTTTTTGCTTAGAATCATTTTACATAAACATTTGTGCGACCTAAAACTCAAAAACTACTACACGGATTCTTTTCAGTTGAAGTTGGGGTTATTAATGAGCCCTGCTCACATTTTGCCTTGTTCATTAATGGTTTTCACATATTTCATCATCACTATATGAATTTATCACATCTTCAAAAAGAAGAGGATGTTTGGATGAACTGTTCTTGGGGTTGTGCTTGTTACTGATTACAATAGTCTCATCTTTTTCCATGAAAATGACATTCTTGGGTTTGATGTGAGTGTTTGCTATTTCAGAGAAAACCATTCAGTCTCTGTGTGATGCACTGGGCAGATCACAGGCGCAGAAAGAGGTCATCAAGGGAGGACTCATGAAAGTGAAGAGATCGTAAGTATTTGAAAAAATAATAATCTGAAATCCTTTTGTCCATCTCATAATGTCCCACCTCTTTTGTCTTTGATGACTAATACATTTTGAACTGCTTATCTATAAATGGTTAATTGTTTAATACTAGAATGTTCATTTGTATGAATTAATAGCATGGGTGACGTTCTATTTCTACCAAGATGCTCTTGCGACTGAAGGAAAATATGTAATAACGGTTTCATCTCGTCACAGGGAAGGCGACCTTGAGAATCTTGTCCGACAGGTTCGCGCGCAGTTGAAGAAGATTGCAATCACTGACAAAAGCCGTGTTGATGAGATGTTCCTGAGATACGACACCGACCGCACTGGCTACATCGACTGTAACAACATGCGAGATCTCTGTCGCAGGCTACAACTCCCAGTTGATGATGATGTCATTGAAGCAGTAAGTGTGGACAGTCCGCAGTAGGCCTGGGACGGGTAACTTGGGTATTTGGGTCAGGTGGATCTTGAGTATATTGTTTAATGACAAAAACTCGCTATAGCTCAGTGGTTACACTACAAGTCGCTATTGTTCACATTTCTTTCGGATGATGCACACATTCCTTTTGACTTGCATATGTTTGAGTAAAGATAACGCTTCAGTAAACTTCTTTGTACGCATGATCTGATCGTTTGAAACATGTATCTAAATAGTTTTGGCCAGGGCTGTGGTAAAATTCCCAATTAGACATTTTGTTCCAAACTCTTGAGACCTGCAGTGGGTACCCAGGGGGTTGGATACGCGGTTAGTAAATTTGGACTTGTCCCAGCCCTAGTCCACAGATTCGTGTCTGGATATAATATCTGCTTGTAATCATCTGCTTTAGTGGATTTGTTGTTATTGAACAGTCATGTGTCTCATTTTCTGCATATGTAATGATGACTAAAAAGCACTTGAGACGTTTTCAAAATTTTCATGAAACACCACAAGGCGATCTTAGTGCTGAGACTGAAACTTTCATACTTTTACAGAGAAAGGATGGGGATAGCACTAGACTGGCTTTGGATTGTGGGGAAAGTAAAATAAACAAGACATTGAAATATATTATCTGATCCGTGTTGTCTGGATATTTTGCATTATTACATGTTCAAGTTATATCTGTTGCAGTCCATAGTGTTAACATGTTATGAGAGATGTGCTTTGTTTGTTTTCAGCTTGTCAGCCAGTGTACTGTTGATGGCCAGGGCAGAATCAGCCTGGAGGATTTCCGCCGATTTGTCGAGAGCTCATAAATCACCATAGTCCTAGTGTATATTGTTTGAAACTGTAAATACCAGGGAAAGACTTCTACTGTACAGATGTTATTCTGACTATATCGATATTGAAATGTGAAACTTGTCAGTATCTAATGTGTTTTGCAAAACATTTTCAACCTCACATTTAACATAACTTGTACGTCATGGTGATGAACATAAGACTGTTTTAAGCATGACATTCAACACAAGACTGATGTCATGTTTTAAGCTTGACATTCAACACAAGACTGGTGTCATGTTTTAAGCATGACATTCAACACAAGACTTGTGTCATGTTTTAAGCCTGACATTCAACCCAAGACTGGTGTTATATGAGACATGTGTCATATATACATAGCAAATGAAGTATCCAGCCTCTATCATGATTTTCTCGTTTTCCTCGGATGTTTGTGTTTTGTCATTTTTTTTACTGATTTTAAGACTTATTGCTCATTTTACATAAACTAGGAAACATTCATCACAGTTTGATACTCAAACTCTAACAAGTGAATTTCACAAGTATTTTATACAACAAGTTGAAACTGCTGATACAAATGCCAGTTTTATTTTAGATGTTTCCGTTGTTGGCTCTGGAGAAAGTCAAAGAAACTGTTGTTGTATTGTTATTTTATCCTGACTTTTACTTGTACACCTATGCATGTCAACATATGTCTGCTTATTGCAACACAAGTACATTCTGTGATATACATGTAGCAATGTTGCTGGAATAAAACATTTATATACATTCAATCTCTGTTTTGTGAAACAATTCTATAACAGCCACCTCATCACTCTCTTTCTCAAACTGAGGTGCACATGTGGCACAGTTGTCTAAGAACCTGCATTTTGGTGAACAGAGTTGTGTCCCTTTGGGATGCCAGGCTCCGCTGATTTTAGATGCCAGATTTGTCCACTATTATCTTTGGTCATTTGGCGCATGTGGTTTTGATGGTTTCACCAACCAGGGGAAAACATCTGCATCACAGAACTGCCATCAACATTAGGACACAATAAGTTATCAGATTTTCATCCACAATTCTAAAATATATTTCAAAGAGTTTGAGGCACCTGTATACGTAACCTGTATACGTTACCTGTTGATGGCTGTAGTTCACATGATGCATGAATTACACTGAAGGAGTATCTATATAGTTTATGATATCAAGTAAAGACGAGAATCATCAGGAGTTTCGCTACAAACACACCACTTTGGGCTCATTGCCACCGAAAGACACCATACAAATTATGACACTGCAATGAAACGGTTATCAAAAGGATTAAAGAATAGTAATTTGATTACAATTTTCTATTCTCTGCCATAATTATAGTACCTATCATGCAAATATTAAAGGGATATCAATAATTACCGTTTTGTCTCACAGATATCCAGATTACCGTGAAGATCCAGGGTAGAATAGGTCTTCAGTAACCCATGCTTGCTGTAAAAGGCGACTATGCATATTGCAAGAGGCGACTAACGGGATCGGGTGGTCAGGCTCGCTGACTTGGTTGATGCATGTCATCGTAATTAGTGGAGCCATTTCATGACAGATATGGGGTCAGTTGTGCACTTTGTGATAAAAGCATGAAACTTGGCACAGTTGTAGGTAATGACATTCCAAATATTTTCAAATTTGGGGCCACCCCTAAAAATCCAATATGATCACTAAATCCAATATAAGGCGCCATGGAGTAATACAATTCTAGTATGTCTCATGTGAAATTGACCCATAACCTAAAAATATCATGAAAATTGAAATGGAATGTATTGACCCAACACTGATCTGTAAAGTAATTAATTTTTAAAGTCGACCACTTTCTCCTAGAACAGCATCATTACAAGCACTCAGAGGCAGATACAGAATTCTTTTTATATACTTAGTCTGAACTCTCTCAATTTGATCCACGACTTCGTATCCCCAAAGTTCGGAGCCGTATGTTAGGATGGGCAGAACCATGCTATCGAAAATCTTTAATGCAGTCGTAATTGGTAAGCCATCACACATGGAGTGGAATCTGTATATAAGTAAGCATACTTTCTCCGCCTGCTTAGCCAACACTTGTCTCGATCGCGTCCAAACTAGTTTAGGTGTAAAAATAAAGACCAAGATATTTATAAAAGGAGACACTTTCGATCCGACAGCCCCTGTAATACCATTTTTCATACTGCCGTAGATATCCACCATTTCGGAATACAACAATCTTTGATTTTTGTTTAATTAGGTTCATACCCCAGTTTTCAAAGTTGCCGGTTGCTAAGCAATTTATTTGTTCTTGGAGTTTGCCTGCGGAATCTGCAGAGTTAGCGACATCATCAGCATGGAGAAGTGAACATATATTAGGATAATCTTCAGATATGAAGATGCCTCTACAGTTTCAGGAAGCCATCTCAGTAACCAAGTCGTTGATGTAAAATGAAAATAACAGTGGGCTGACCATACATCCTTGGTGAATACCAACCCAGCACTGAAACAAGTCTGTGAGACCTTGATCTGTCCGTACACAAGTCTGTAGTTTTGAATACATATTTCTTAAAGCAGTTAAAATATTTCCATGTATTCCATAGCTAATAAGTCGATGCCAATGTACAATGTGATCTACGCAGTCAAAGGCTTTTGAGAAGTCTATGAAGAAAACATAAAATCTCCCCCCGTTGATTCAGAGAGGTATTTTCTAATCATCCCATAACGTGAAAACATGTTATCCACCGTCGAATAACCTTCTGGTTTAATATTTTGGTGAAAACCGTTCCAACCGCTGGCAATAGATCTAATTCCGTTTAACATAGTGATAAATCAGTGATGAAGGTGTTGCGATGTTATGCCAGATTTCACGTGGGTTCTCGTCACACAATGGCCTTGGCGACGACGGCCACCTAGTAGTATAATTATTGGACACTAGAATTGGTGATATTGGCGATTGGCATTTGAAACACCATATGATTATAACCCTTACGAAAATACCTACAATATTTATTATGCAAAGCACTATCATACATGCATTTATTCGTCCAACACACATTCAGGGACGTGACGTCACAACTACAAATCCCAGGCGATGGAGATATTCCTCCTTTAGGTGACTGGGCGGCGGGGTTAGCCAAGTGGTACAAGCGTTCGCTTGTCACGCCGAAGTTCCGGTTTCGAGTCCATAACTTGAAAAGCCTATATCTGGTGTTCCCCACCGTAATATTACTTGAATATTGTTGAAGAGGCGTAAAACCGTATTCATGTGTAAGGCGACTAGACATTAACTATATATTCAACGTTCAAAGTTTAGTGTCAATAGTTTCTGAAGAAGTAGATTCCTTCCGTCGCCGCATCCACAGTTCCAGACACAAGAAGACAACCCCCATCACCAGGGCTACTCCACCAGCCAGGTAAAACATCAGGAGATAGTCCCCTGTCATGTCTCTGATGGCGCCTGTTGAGAGATTTATACACCATTAAGCACATAAAGGAGTCAACATTCATCTTGAGGAACGTATTGACCGTGATTCCCTCATCACAAGGGATACAAAATGGAGGATCCTAACCTTTCAATAAATATTCATGTGTATATCTGCTGGATATAACAATGAACCAAGGTCAAGCATCTTTACCTTCAGACGAAACTTCATATATATCCACGTTTGCTCCCTTTGCTAGAACCAGAAGAATTCAGCCCCTCTGCTCCCCACCCACCACCGAGTATCAACAAGGACGATGTCGCAGTGTAAGCCAGGCTGCAACACCCGGGATACAAAGGTGTTATACTCCGGCAAATATAGACTTGAAAACCTATGAGAACCACAAGAATAGGTGTCAGACTTGTTCGGCCCATAACACTATTCTCAAGAAACACAGAATTCAGAGGTCTTAATCACCAGAGTGGCCCATGAACCACCGCCTTCTGGTCTAAGTCTCTAGGCAATTTAGCGATTGGAAAGGTGTATTCCAAGTCCAACAAATTAATTTAAAAAAAATTCAAATATGTGCAGAAATACTTCTACGCACAGGATCTGGCATGACCAGCCGATTGCTCGAACCGGGCCCATTCTATCACCCGTCTAGGTGAAGTGGTGTGTTGGGCAAAAGGAACATCAGTTCCTGTCTCCTGTTCCTTCAACCAACGGCAAACAAGTTGCCCAATTTGCTTGGTTGGAGGAAATATTTGGCAAATATATGATGATATATTTTCTGAGTTGATTTAGGATGTTTACGGTAAATACAATTTCCCTTTTAACATTAATTAGTTCATACCATTTGTGAAAATCTTACTGACGTCTTGAGGGGCGGTCGGGTAGCCTAGGGGTTCGCTCGTCACGCCGAAGACCCGGGTTCGATTCCCGACATGGGAAGCCCATTTCTGGTGTCCCCCGCCGTGATATTGCTGGAATATTGCTATAAGCGGCGTAAAACTATACTCACTCACTCACGTCTTGAATTGATTGTAGATATGAAGGTCACTGGCGTCACTTTACGTGCCTTTGTATGTGTTTGTGACGGATGTCACTGATGGGGCAGGATACGGTCACATTTTCGAGAACATCTGGTATCATCACTATTAGACAGTGATTCATAAACACATGATCATGATTTAGTCGGAATCGTACAGTCAATTCTGCTTTCAGTAGAGATTTCTTATGATTTTGGAAATATTTTTTTGGATTATTGAATCAAAAGTTGCTGGGACTGCTAACTGACGTCGACTTCTCTTATATCAGGATTTCAGGAAGAATGCTCACAGCTTGAAAACACATTATTCAACTCATTAGGACTTAGATTATTGTGGTGGTTGTCGAGGACACCTAGCTGGGTGTGGATACATTTTGGACTCTGATGTCCTTCATGTGTGCTAATGATGAATCACTTACCACTGATGGGTCCACTAGCAATATCCGAGAAGCCGGAGAGTCCGAACATATAGGACAAGGCGGATGAATAGGATGCTGGATCACTCATTTTAAACAGGACAATTGGTATGGACACATCCAGAATAGCCAGGAGTACGCCATGGCCGATTGCAAGGGTTATCATAACACCATATGAACTGAAGAAGGCGAAACAGATGCTCAGGAGCCCACACAAAACCAGAGACACGGAACAGGAGATGAGTGCCCGGATGTGGAACACTGTGTCCAGCATCCCTCCCAGTAAACTCCCAGCTACATGCGCTATAGTGATTGCAGAGAGGAGGAAGGATGCAGCCTCCAGGTCGTAGCCCCTGGTTCTGGCAACGTCCACGATGAAAACGACTACCCCGGTATAGAAGCACCAGATCACAGGTTGACATAGTAGAAATATCATGTACGGTACATTCTTGAATAAATGGAGATTGAGAGATTTGATTAGAGACTTGGGCTCGGCATCCTTAGGAGTTGTTTTCATGTTGTAGATGGGCTTCGTCAAACAACGGATCAGGAATCCAAGGACACACATGTTAAAGTTCACACCAGCCAGAAGCAGAAACGTCCCCTTCCATCCGTACGCGTCCAACACAAGCCTGTTAAACTGGGGAGATATAAAGGCTCCAAGTCCTGCCCCTGCCGTGATGAGGGAAACTCCCATACCCTTTTTCTTCACAAGAACGCTTCCTGTCGCTAAATAGGAGGATAGATGTGCAAAACACATCCCAAAACCTGCAAAGATTGAACATCGAATCAGTTTATACAGATGCAAAAGCAAATGATGCCATGCGCTTATCGATAATACGTAGAATTTGTGGAACATAACTTAAAAAACCTCTTTCATTTTACGATTTAAATCGTAAGGCTTCAATGAAGCTGTAAATGAATGAACACAACAGGCTCTTTAAAGCTTTTAAAAAAAATTAAAGTTCGAATTCTGTCAACCATTTCTAGTGTTCTAGTTACGGCGAACTTTCTTGTTTCATTCTTCATGGGAAAGGTATAGACTGACAAAGCGAAACGCTCAGCAGTTTGAAAGAGAGATGTGACCGTTGACCTCAGTACCCATTAAATAACACCAAGCTATCCTAGTCAACATTGACGAGTAGCACTTGTTCTTATATCTAAAAATAAAGCCCTGATTAAATATTTTCATAATTATTATTCATGTTTTGGTAACGTATAAATAAAGGATAAATGAAGAGAAGGAAAATTCGTATGTCTATCGATTGAACAATGTCTTTAATTGAGACATTCCAGCTCAAGCTCTGTGGTAAGTATCGCTTCAACCATCTTCCCGAGGCAAGAAAGTTAACTGACTTTAAAAGTCCAGTTTCCAACCTTGCCGAACTAGGCTTGTATTATGGAGTTACATTTTGGCTTGACTAACGAGTCAATACATAGTCCCGTTCGTAAAGTGTCGTGCAGATTTCGGTCGATTGCAGGATTTACAAAGCATGTGCACCACAAACTCGTAGTAAACAGATATTTTCCAAACTTTTTCATGTTTTTAATCAAGCGCTCGCGTGATTTGATGCACTTCGCGATGTAAAACTTGTTTTATCACAATATAGATCTTTATTATCGATCAGATCGTCTATACTGGGCGCCGCCATTTTGTTTTAAACAAATGCAAGTCATGGAATCTTATTGGTCCATAGGAGAGGCTTAGAAGGGACATAACTCATAATAATCAGTTCCTAGTTCCGCAAGGGTGGAAACTGGACTTTTAAAGTCAGTTAACTCTCTTGCCTCGGGAAGATGCGCTTCAACCGAACGAATAGAAGTAAATACAATGGTAACAGTGGTGTATGCATTTATTTGATATTACCTGTTATAAATCCAACAGTGATGATGAGCACCTCCACGTTAGGGGCAAAGCTAGCCCCCACACATCCTACCAGGGACAAGAGGCCTCCTAATATCACCGAGTTCCCTGGTCCCAGCTTCTGGACAATTGGTCCGCATATCAATGCTGTGAAAAGCGAGGAACTAATGAACTTGTGGTTATTAGTTAAATATCATACACATGTGACCGAATTAAAACACAGATTAGAAACAGCAAAACTTCAAGTAGAAACATTTTGGAGAAATCGTATTCAATTCCATTCAGTCATTTGGTAAGTTGTCTTAGAATAATGTACTGGTATGTGACAAACACATAAAAACTTCAACCACGATTTACAAATGAATATTCATACATAATATGATAGTCCTGAAGTTGCTGGAGATTAAATTGTACAAGCCCATACATACGACCGATCAAGGTTACAACAGTCAAGACCTCCGTAAAGCTTTCAAAACGTTTTATGCTAGAAATGTGGTCGACTTTTCCAAATTTAACGCATCAGTAATAAAAAATGATGTCCGATGCAATTTCCTTTTTCGACTTGTGCCATCAGTTTTCGTGTTTTTTATCAGGTGAACAATTGGATCATTACCGGTTGATAGTGATTCATAAACACATGTACATGATATTCTCGGAATCGTACAATCGACTCCGCTAAACTTTTATCATAGATTCTTTATGAATACGGAAAGGATTTTGTCACATTTACCAACATAATACCTCGGGAAACGGTGGAGGGGTGATAACGTAAGAATTTACTGTAACACGTGTAACGCTAGATCCCGGCTCACATAGTTAGAATAAAATATGGCTTTTGTTGTGAGGTGTGCACTTACATAGTGACGTACATGCACATATGTGTGTGTGTGTGTGTGTGTGTGTGTGTGTGGCTGCTTGTACTAGTCCGGACTGATGCCGATTTTGGTCCTAGCCCACAGAGATACCATGCCGCAGTTCAACATGAATACCCAACTCAGACACAGTATACTGACTCCAAACTGGCCAGTCCTTGTTTGGGCCCCTGAATGCCGAGTCAGGCAGGGTAACAACAAGTACCATGTTTTTTTGGTATGATGCAGCCTGGGATCGAACCTCGAACCTTCCATTCTCCGGGCGGACGCTCTACCACTAGACCACGGAGGCGGCCCGGTTGTTTTGGAAGACGTGTCTTTGTATACTTAACAGAAGGTGACTATATAGTTTTATTTGAAGACAAAGGCAAACGGAAACAGTTTGAACACTGCCAGCAGGGCTGGTGCTGTATCACGTCATAGTCACATGCACGAAACTAGCTCCAGTATGGGGTCCAATATGGGGTTATTGTGGTTCCACTGGACTGAGATGAGGTGAAGGTTTGTTAATTGTTAAAGGGCAAGTTCACACGGAAATTAACCTATTTTTCTTGTACTTTTTCCACTTTAAAAGTGTTAACCTAGAAGTGTCATAGACAAAAATATAAAAATATCACAATTAATTAACATATTTTTCGCATTAAAACGATTTATATTTTTCATATTTACCAAGTGTTCTATTTCCACAACAAAAACACCATGGCTTATGCCCCTTGCAATATGACGTCATTGGTGCCAATTGATAAACATTATGACGTCATCATGCTTTGTTAGAGCCGCTTCACGTGGTGTAGGTCTAGGTGTGTGATTCTAGCGTCTCAGATGCCAGTCAGCATAGTGTTATGCTCAGTCACCACTGCGCCGGAGTGTGTCGTAGGCCATGTTGTTTTACCGCAAACTGGTACTTGATATCTTTTGCGTTGAGAATAGACAGGGACCCAGTTGAATTGGCACCAATTACGTCATAATCTAATAGGGATAACTCAGGCCTGTTTAGCTCGAAAAACGAAGGCCTCATAACGGCATATCATTTTCACACTATTGTGAGCTTCCTACTTTCACTGTGAAAAAAATGAGTGTATATTTTCAAACACAGATACTAATTAATTCTAAAATTGCGTTTTGTTTAGAAAAAGAAAGAAAGTGATTTTTGCGTGTACACTTCCCCTTTAAATGAGGTTTAAGAACGTACAGCCTGAGAATATAACTCCAATACACAACGACTGCATCAATGACGTCAGGGCTCGGGTGGTGTTGAAAACGTCGAGGATTTGGACAAACACGACTCCAAGACCGACAGCAAAACCGATACACAAGAAGTTGATGCACGTACAGGAAGCAAGTATTATCACCTTGGCAGATGACGCCAGCTCCGGTTTTGGAGGACTGCGATTAGAAAAGGGAATCAAGTCATCGATTATCACCATAGTTAATTCATATTTCATCAATGTAATGTTAAAGTAATTTGTAAACTTAGGTATTTTATTTTTATGTCAGGCAATGGAAGGAGTCAAACACACGTTCATCACCATGAAGGGTTGACGATGAACGTAGAGCGGCATTACATATACATCACAACGATATGCAACACAATCAGGAAGTTATTTATATGGATACTAGTATTTCATTGTTTGAAAACAATCGGACATGGACGGTCTAAACATCGAACATACATTTCGCGTCCTGAGAAGCTCGTAAAATGCATATTATTTGCACCCACTGGAAATGTTTAGATGTATAAGGCTCAAATCTGGTTTCCGCCCAAACTCCGGTGCGGTCAGCTCTTTTGATCCAGCTAAGCATTAAGATGACACGTGTCGTTGCTGAACTATAGTTCCAGATCGATTAATATCACGAGTGTCAGGAATGCACTATCCTATATATCCTACACGATGTGTAACTGTTCTGACATTCAGGATTCCAAACATCAAGAGGCGTGTGGAAACGTCGTGGTAAAACTGAAAGAAAGCTGCTTTAAACCCAACTGCCTCATGTCATGCAAATATATCAAGTAACATACCTCATCTCGCCAGAAGGTTGACCATTGTTTACGTGGGAGGGGGGTTGTTCTCCAACTGCTTTATCGCCACATGCAATTAGATTATGCCCCATGTCTTTTCCCGAGTGCCTTCTGCTCAATCCGTTGGAGGTGATGCTGTTTCCAGACATTTTCTTAACAGTCTTTAACAAGTCCTTAACAAGTCTTAAGTCTTAACAATAAACTCTGCTCGGCTCGTGGACGGCAACTGCAGATTCTGTTGTGTTTAAAAAAATAATTTATGATGTATCACAAGCATTACGGAAATACAAGGAAATATAAACTGAACCGCAAAAGAAACGTCACCGTGCATAGATATATGAGAAACCTTATTTGTTCAAACACTGTAAACATACTTTGAGACATATTAAAAAGATGAAACTTCGCAAAACTGATCATCAAGGTTGAAATTAAAGTGTCAAATGTTCTTACAGTGAAACACAACACTAGTCTCTGAGAAAATGGCATCACAAGTCAGTATCTCGTGTGTCCGCCATGTGCATTGATGACTGCCGTGCAACGTCGATACATGGAATGGATGAGGCGGTTTATGAAGGCCATGGGCACTTGAGCCCACAATCTGAGGAACGCCTGACGCAGTTCAGCTGCAGTTGTCGGCCTTGGTCGGACGTCATTCAGCCGTCTTTAAATCTCGTCACACAGGTGCTCAATGGGATTTAAATCGGGACTGAGGGCAGGCCACTGCAAGGTTCTGATGCCATTCTGCTGGAGGAAGTCTTTTGTTGCAGTGTGGGCACATGCGTTATCATGCTGAAACTCGTGGTTGCGGCGTGTGGTCTCAAGACTTGATCAATGTACCGAGTTGCTGTGACACAATTGCCTCTCCCTGGACCGATGTTCTGGAAGATCAAGTCCACCCCACACCAGGATGCTCGGACCATCCCAAGAGTCTCTCTCAACAACACAAGCATCCGAATAACGTTCCCCACGGCGTCGCCAGACTCTCTCTCTCTGCCATCTGCTGTTGAGATACAGTAACGGCTCTCGTCTGAGAAGAGGACTCTTCTCCACCGCTGCTGGCGCCAATGCTGGTGCTTTGTTGCCCATTGAAGACGGTCCTGGCGATGACGTGGTGCCAGAATGGGTCCTCGGTGTGGCCTGTGACATTGGAGGTGTCTGCTCGTCAATCGTCGACGCACGGTGTCCGCACTAATGTGTCGCTGGTGTGTCCCCATGGTCTTTCGAGCAGTTTCCGCAGCAGTAACAAAGCGATCTTGACGATGCTGTCGCACAATCTGACGATCCTGACGTCGTGGGGTGACCTTTGAGATTGTGGTTTTCTTCGCTCATAATTTATTACTATCTAGTCAAACGCTTTATAACAGTTTCATAGTATACTACTAAAAAAAGTTAAAGAACAACCGATTCTGCCATATTTTAAAGAACTATTATAATTGTTAATCTGTCATGGCATAACAGATTAACTGTAGTAATATAAAAAAGGATGTTCTTTAACTTATTTTGAGTAGTATATATCCACTCTGTCAACTAGAACGTTGGACATATGCTGTTTCATCGAATGTTTCATCGTGTGTGACACTTGGCACACAATGGTGTGTTATTGTGTGCTTCAGCACAGATGCGCTATTATGAAGCAATTAGGATAGGCTTTTCAACCAATACCGCAATATGCTTTCACTCAAAGAAAACGCTTTGGTGGTAGATCTATGTATGTATTCTACGGCAGGATAGACCCCACAAAGCGATCCTAGCGCTAAGGTGATCGTAACTCCCATACTTTAACATAGGCTTATGATAGTCGAAGCGCTAAGATCGTTTTGTGGAACGGAAGCCCAGGGCCTAGATTTTCGAAAAGATCTTAGCCCTAAAATTATCGTAAAGTTATCGTAAGGAAATCGTAGGCTATCGTAGCATATGTTCGAAACTATCGTAGCCCTAAGATATCTTCAGATTGTCGTAAATCTAAGATAGCCCCATACCTGTCGTAAGTTTATTTTATATTCATCCAAGATGGCGGCATACTTTTCAATAGATATTTTGCCAAACAATTAGTCTGCTTTACGTTCAAACATTGACATTTCATTTGGTAAAACTGAGTGATTCAAATTGACACTTCGAAAACACAAAGAACGCATCAAGGATTTCGCGTCAAAAATGTTCTCAATCGCGACAGCGATCCACATAACTGTGGAGTCGAAAGCTTACAATATATTTCTATCCGAGTCTATGCTGAAGAAGTGTGAAACAACATACCTTTTCGATAGTTTGGGAAGGATAAAAACGGAAGGTGTCGGCAGGCTACAGTGATGACCGTGACCTTATTGATAACTCAGGGGGAGCTAATCTTAGTTGTGAGTGGTTTCCCTTTGTATTCGCCCGGGACACCTTGCTCAATGTTACAGTTTTCATAAAGCACAGAGTTCCGCTGTTATATTTTCTGGATCGCATTTGTGTCAATGCTTTAGTCTTTATTTTCGCATTTTATAAAATTATATCAATCTACATATGTAAAAAAAACCATAAAGGTTTCGCATAAGGTTTTACTTCTAAAATCACTTTCCAATATATGTTCGCAGAAAAAAAAGTTTATTGAATGAAATTTACTGATCAATATAAAATACACATTTTCAACAATAACAACAACAATAATCTTTGCATTCAATAAACCGGTTTTAAAATATTTTGGTGTTTTTAATATTTAAGTCTACATCTTCCCGTTTTATGTTCATAATATATAGATATACTTGAGACAATTCACACAATAAAATCGTTGTCACGTTTAGGGTCAACGGACATATACTAGTAAATGATCCTCAGCAATTCTGTCAGACAAGCCAAACATCATTGAACTACGTTCTGGAATAGATTTGACACATTACAAAGTATTTCGCTCCTTAGTCAGATTTAATTGAAATCAGACGAATCAGTTTATTAGCTCTACTTAATTCAAAAGGATAGAAAATGACTACATTATATGTATGTTCACGTTAACTTGTGGCGTGTTGCATGAGACAACATAGCTTGACAATTCCGAAATTATCTCTCTTTGCGAACCAAAATTAGTGTCACTTTTAAATTTTGAAAAGAATTATGGATCTAAAAAGATACAAAATAATGTCATCATCTAAATACTTATAGCTTGATATTGTATTTAAGTCCTTGGTTAATTCGTGAAATATATTGGATATATAAATAACAAAACAAACTTAACAAGCTTAGATTGTCATAAAAACTTGCTTGTGGGTGCGCTGCTTCCTGAACAATTTTTGTTTTGAGTGTTTCCACGTATAATGTTGGTGTTTACACTAATATAAACTTGACTTTTGACATAAACACAAACATATTCAGTATACATCACTTAACATCAGACTTGAACACGCATGTTAAATGCTGAACGCATATGCTGTTCGATCAAAGGTCTCGTCATTGTCATTTAGAACAACGTCCCTTACTTTCGTCCTTGACTTTGTACGCGATGTGTTTATATCATAAAGTTCTGCGCGGTCACGAGAGGACCATTTGAAGGGAAAATAGTGAAGTATCTTTTGGCACATTATTTCCATTCTAATAGCTAAAGTGTGGTAACTCTATACTTATTGATTATAACATTTTTGGGCTTTGAAAAATGCTATTGCATAACACACGAATGCTTTTTGTGTTCTGTTAGTCATGGCATCTTTTATCATAAGAACAACACGTCTACATGTAGGACATATGTAGGATTGTACAGAATTTCACTCAAATATGTGCATGTTAAACAATGTGACCTGACAATGTGATCATGAATTCCGTGTCACTTATCTATGTTGTTGTTATTGTCAGCAGCGGGGAAATCCCCGTGACGTCACTGGGAAACACCCCGCTTTTTCAATCTCTAACAATGAGTTCTCTGTCAGAGTTACGACAGGCATCGTAACTCTGAACGATCTGCGACAGGTTTACGATAGTTTCGAAAATCTATCTTAACCTTAAGATATCTTATCCTTGAACGTAAGTTGTTAATATTTATCTTAGCTAAGATCGTTTCGAAAATTTAGGCCCAGATTCCTAACTGTGACGTCATCATCCGCAAACAACCTTTGGCATCCAGTCAGCAGAAGGACCGTTGCTAGACGATAACGCCTGTTTGGTCTCCGTACCTATCGACCTTTTAAGGGTATGACGTTAACGTTTCTGCACCGACGTCACAGACTGGGATGGGCCAGGACTGTACAGCAGTGGCAGCAGAGAAATTGGCGACGAGTGCTCTTCAGCGACGAGAGTAGGTGCCAGCTCTCCAAGTCTGAATCTACCGACGACGTGGTGAACGGACGGCACGTTGTTGCGTCCAAGAAATGGAGCCTTATGGAGGTGGTTGTGTCATGGTCTGGGGTGGCATGGTCTGGTCATTGTCGACGGAAATCTCACTGCACATTGTTACATTGATGATGTTTTTGCAGCCTGTGGTACTGCCTTCCTGCAAAGACACCCACGGGCGCTGTTTCAGCAGGACAACACCGCCCCTCACACAGCTCGAGTCACGAGCGACGCCAACAACGTGACCGTATTACAGTGGCCAGCCAGATAACCGGACCATCAAGCAATCTTAGCACAGAGGCGACCATTACTCCGGGATTTTTTTGTTTTTATAAAATCGCTGTCGACAGAGCCGACTGCTTACAATGTCAACTGTATGATTTTGTGTTATGTGCCCCCTCGGCATAGTTGCCTGGCAAAGGTTACAGTATTTGCAAGCCTCCCTGGTATAGCTGGAATTACTTTGACTGCGGTGTAAAACAACATTCCTCAGTCAGTGATTTCCGATATGCTGCAATAATGGGCTAATCTATTACATGCAATATTTTCTATATGTTCTAATTCGAAATATTATTTTCTTCAAATATACATGTATATAACAATCTTGCGTATGTATAAAACGTTGTCTCTTTTATGTGAATTGTTTGATGGGCATTACTTAGAAGTTGACGGATGACAAGGTTGACACAATTTTATCGATAACAACTTAATACAGTATTAAAGAAGTTGTTATCCATACACTTGTGGCTACCTACTCTTGTAGGTGGTCTATGCAAGTGACGTAGTGCGTCTTTTGGGTGACGTAGCTTGTCTTTTGGGTGTACTACTTAATTGGGGGAATTAGCGGTAGTAGCGGTCACGACTGGCTATCACCTTGAAGGACAGAGAAGGCTGTTGAGTTGGTGGCGTTTATTGGTGGAAGCAGAGTGAAGTTTACACAGAAGTACATTTAATTGTAATAGCACGATAATATGCTACGTGTACAACACGTGTTAAGAGGTTGAGTCATATTCATCTAATTGTATACATATAATTATAACAATTCAATACGTGTACAACACGTACGATCATAATAATACAATCGGCATACAACCGATAACAACATGACTGTAAAGATGTACAATACATTTGTTTAAAGGATGGTTATTAAAAGGCATTTATTACGCGAAAATATGTCTGGTAGAAAACAGTAGAAAAACAGTCATGCGTGGATATTCTGTTATAAGAGACAATATAAATACATGTTGGCCGACTCAGTTTTCAATGTTACTAAGTTGCAGGCAAATCATTGCTATGAGTATGTGTCACTGAATGTAGGAACGTACAAGTTATTGACATTGGTACACATACTCATATTGGGATGTTGCCGTGCAACTAGTATACTAATATACTAATATACTAATATATGTTCAATTATATACAACTCAGGCCTTCATTACGTTACATAACTAAAGATCACAACATCCCAGGTGTCAGCGGTTGATCGGCTGTAACAATGGGTGGGTGTGTCATTATTTACGGATTTATTCAAGTAGGTTGTTGTATTGCCTAACTGACCCTTATATCACAGTCGGACTGACCATGTGTGCCGGCCCTGTGACGTGAAGTTACCGATATAGGTTGATTGATATATATTTTCTAATAGGAATTTGGTGTAAGAAGAAAGCTATGACACAAGGTACATACATATACTGTGGCCAGACCAGTGATGAATGATTTCTGACGGGAGTTTTTGCCAAGATAGCTTAATAATCCGAACATGTGTGTTGTTGTTTTACATACACAGTGTTAAAATACACATTTAGGCATTTACACATTTCAGAACAATCTTAGTCTGTCCTACAGACCCTGATACAAATATATATCAAATACAGCCCTTGCAAGTCTATAGTGTTTGGCAAGTCTAGATCACTGCAGTATCTGAAAATGAAGTGAGTCACTGGGCTCCTTTTAATTATATTTTTAGTAAGATAACTGAACAACTGTTTTTTTTATGTACGATATGTTCATTTCAGAGACTAGATTTTAGTCTAGAACAATCTGTATATGGTTGATTATTATCGGAATTTAATTCAAAGGCAGTTAATTTACAATGGATGATATTGTAACTTACCCTGACAGCGGATTGTGCTTTGTCGTCAGAATTTCACAAGCATTAAATAAATCCTGCAATTGTGTCGTAACACTTTTAACAGGACGGATACACGCTTCGCTCACACACAGTGGTGATCTAGTGACCACAGTTAGTGTCATGAATGAGGATACCACGCACGTGACCAATCATACTCTCGTGGCCAGACTAATAATGTCAGTTCCTCTTCAGTACCCTGTGGACAAAAGAAATTGTATGAATATAGTTATACTGATTTATAATTGTTTACGACGATTGCAACTATTTGTAATCAATATCAAATTGTTTAAAAATGTATCTATTTTAATATGGTCTCATTATTTCGATCGTGCGGGTATTTCTGGATATACGTTCCCAGGAGAGGCGAGGAGCTAGGTATTTACCTCCGTATTTTAAGTGTTCGTTAGTGATACCATCCTCAACAGCAGCTTTGTTATGTTTTTTTTAAGTCTGACAAATAGTAGATGTTTATTGTGGTGTTATCAGGAAATCTTGGACTGTAGCTTTTTCTCTGTCGATCTCAGTTCTGAGGTTCTCCACTTGTTGGTCTATACTTCTTCTGAAGTCTTCACCATAGCGCTCGTCCGTTGCATTACATGAGATCATAGCAATGGCGTTTGATATTTCTGTCGGATCTCTGATTTGCTTATTATTTATCAAAAGGCTGGATATTTGTTGTTTCTTCTTCCCACGGCACAGTCGAGTCCAAAATACTCTCTTGTCTACATCACATGAACTGTCCAACGTGTCATATTGTTCCGACTCGTAGTCTAAAGCAGGTTGTTTCAGAGCATGTCTAAATTTGTCCGTTGCAGATTTGTATGATCTGAATGATTCGTGTTCCATGCCTCTGGGTCGCCCGTTTTTTAACCATCGATTACGGTACTACATCACGTGGTTATGGAATTCCTTAACTACATTGTTCCAGAATGACTTCAGATGTTTAGAAAACTTAGTTTTAGGGATGAACTGATCAGATGATGTCTTCAGACTGTCGACAATTCCTGAATAAGAAGATTCAATATCCTCTGTATCACAGTTTTGGCTTGGAATTTTCACCATAAAGTATTTGATACACTGTATTAGTAGTCACTAAGCACATCTGGGTTTTTCGCCTTATCCCAGGATGGCTTTGTAAACGTCGTCTGTTCTCTTACAGCCAGTAAGTCTAGTTCAGTTGCAAAAACAATCGGATGATGGTCAGATACATTCAGGGGATTGTCATCTTTAACTACAGCGCTAACCACAAGTTCTGTTAACCGACACTGGATCTACAACGCAGGGATATCAGTCATGAACAACTTCGTCAAGAAGTCAGGAGTGTAATGAGTCAGATACATTCAGAGGATTGTCGCTTTAGTGAGTGAGTGAGTGAGTGAGTGAGTGAGGTTTTATGCCGCTTTTAGCAATATTCCAGCAATATCACGGCGGGGGACACCAGAAATGGGCTTCACACATTGTACCCATGTCGGGAATCGAACCCGGGTCTTCGGCATGACGAGCTAACGCTTTAACCACTAGGCTACCCGACCGCCCCGATTGTCATCTTTAACTACAGCGCTAACCACAAGTTCTGTTAACCGACAGTGGATCTACAACGCAGGGATATCAGTCATGAACAACTTCGTCAAGAAGTCAGGAGTGTATAGAGTCAGATACATTCAGAGGATTGTCATCTTTAACTACAGCGCTGACCACAAGTTCTGTTAACCGACACTGGATCTACAACGCAGGGATATCAGTCATTAACAATTTCGTCAAGAAGTCAGGAGTGTATAGAGTTAGAGACATTTGTTTGGGACGATTCAAAGAGAGATTTATATATTAGCAACCTTGCAGGTATTGATGCCCAGAAACCATTACACGATACAACAAATATGCTTAGTGTGGATGTTAGCAGAATTGCATTTATGTTTAACACCGTTTTATATAAAGCCTGTGCATGTTCACTTAAGAATCTAAAATATAACATCGTACAGGTTAGGAATGCCTTGCATGATCAAGAAGGTTTGCTGTTGAAGAGGGAGAGTAGGATAATGCTTAGACATCATAGGCAATGTAAAGCATGGCGTAGTTTTAGCAAATATAAAGTTAGTTTGAATAAATATAAATCTACTATTAAAAAGAAGAAGTAGAGTTTTAGGCAAACGGGAAGTAGACCATTTATATTTACTAGCACAGGACTCGTAAACGCTAAACAGTTTTGGTCTCATTTAAGACGCATACGTCGTCGGAGTATGTCTGCACCAGTTTCACGTGCTGAATGGTTCCATCACTTCAGATGTCTGTGAGGTAATGGAGTTACTGGGTCAAGTGAAAGTAGCATAGCCTTGGGTGAGGATTTCCACGCCCACCATGATGAGAACATTGACAATGAAAATGATGATCAGGTATTGTTTTACTCCCCGCAAAGAAATTGACGAGATTATTTCAGCTATCAATGGGTTGAATTTACGGAAATCTGCAGGTTATGATAAGGTTAATGCGAAGATGTTTGTCTGTGGTAGATAGTATGTTATTGACTCTGTGGTTAAACTTTTTAACACTATTTTTGATACAGGTATTTTCAAAAGTCGGTGGTCAGCAGGTATTATTGCATAAAAGTGAGGCAGTTGATAGTCCTGACAATTATAGGGGTATTATTGTGTATATTTAGTAAAAATATATATTCGTGTTTTGAAAAAAAGAATCACGATGTGGGTTACCGTTATGAAAAGATAACTAAAGTATAGGCGTGGTGTAGGGCTGGTTATGCAACGACTGATAATTTATTCGCACTGTGTGCAGTTATTATAAAATATAATTTTAAGAATAAGGGTAAATTATATGTTGCTTTGACTCGGTGGGTATTTTTATAGATTTAATACTATATACATGTACCAACCTGAACTCATTGCTGTTATATTATATTATTCTTGCATATCGGCTACTAGCCTTAAGTACAGAAATAAAGAATCGATTGAATTGATACTACAACTGCGACAGTGAGGTGCATGACGAATGCTTTTCACCTTAAATGACGTATATATTGCGAACTGTCCGAACGCGTAGGGCTTCGAGGACAGGACGTGGAGAATAAATACGTAAAACTGAAATAGTTTGTTCACGCTTTGGGATATGTTGTCAATGAAACATTCAATGACATAAATGCAGGGAGAATAAACCACTCGGGGATTCACCCCTCATGGTTTATTCTCCCTGCACGTGTTATTGTACGATAAACAACTCCCACTCGTCGTTTATGTCTTAATTAATTGGCCAATATTGGTATTTTTTGAGGATTGATTGACATGAAATATTATACAGATTGATTATGTTTTGATGTTTGCAACCTCTACTATTTAAAAAAAGATATTGTCCTGACAGTTCACCAAGATAAATGAAATAATGTGAATAAAAGTTCGACAGGTTGAATATTGTCGGACACACTGGCGGATTCAGAATTTACATCGGACTTTCCGATTGGTCAATAAAGTTGTTTGATTAATATCTTAATATTTGGCGAACGAATATATCCTCAAGAACAGTGCTGGCCATTTCTAAACTCAGAGAAATCATCGTCTTCAGTTGATATAGGGGGTTAGTGAGATGGGTTTAAGGCTGCTATCAATAGTTTTTCAATTATATCACGACGTGTCAGCTGGATGTGGGGAGAAATCCAGAAATGATGCAAGTGTTAGACGTTTACCAATTTGGAGAAACCCAAGCGTACGCGTATGGTTCTCACAAACCAAGAAACAAAATCAGGGCGAATCGGGATTCGAACCCACGATCATGCGTTTCTGGCACTCAGCAAAACAAATTGCGGCGCGTATAACGAGTGGACCCCTCGTGCCCATCCGTTGATACATACTCTGGTAAACAGCCCGCTAGCTATTAATTTCAAAATAGTATTTAACGATAGTGCTAATAAGTCAAGTGACCACACCCTGTCCTTACATGTCAAACAAAGACCGCCTCCGTGGTCTAGTGGTAGAGCGTCCGCCCGGAGAGCGGAAGGTCCGAGGTTCGATCCCCCGCCGCGTCAAACCAAAAGACGTTAAAAGATGGTACTTGTTGTTACCCTGTCTGGCGCTCGGCATTAAGGGGCTAAAACAAGGACTGGTCGGCTCGGAGTCAGTATACTGTGTCTGAGTGGGGTATTCATGTTAAACTGCGGCATGGTATCTCAGTGGGCTAGCACTATAAATCGGCTCGAACTAGTACAAGCAGCTACACACACACGTGCATGCACGTCGCTATATAAGTGCAATAATCTTAGATGCGACGTTAAACCCAATTTCACCTCACATGTCAAACAACAGTCCACCTGTTTATACCCAAGCATTCATGCTCGTAGCACGATTTGTTTCTTTCGATCACGTACAATTCAATGTGTGTGTTATTCACGGAATATAAATCCCGTATATGTTCAACCAGTAAATGAAATAGGTTATGCAGAATAATAATGCCACAAACCACGGTGCAGTAAGTACATTGTGATCTACATATCCTGCTCGTTTGTTCAGATGCAACATGTGACATATAGACCAGAACTTAATTTGCGGTCATTTTCATTATAAGAAGGATGTTTGGCGATATTGAAAGTGTTATTGATTAGTTGCTGTGTATACATGTATGTACAGACACGCCGTTGTGTGTGTGTTTGATTTAAATGTACTAAATATTTTTATTACTTGCCCGTGAAGAGATCACCTGTTTTACAGCTGAATTACACATTGTGTAATACCTAAGCGCGTGCTTATGTACTACGGGAACAAGTTACACTAACAAACATTGAAAGCTCTCAACATCTCTTGGCTTATTCAACGACATTGCGTGAGTAGATGATAGATCACTGAGAGGAGCTTATGCACACCCAATGACCCTAGGAACCCCGTTGCGAGGATGACGTCACAATGCATTGTTTCGCCGGTGGATCTTGCAACCAAATTCCACAAATCACGTCATTTAAGGATTGAAGTTGTATTTGTTGACGTTCATCAGCTGATGAAGACAGTGCCTCACGTGAACAAATTCCATGATGCGCGAAGATTATTGTAGCGCAACGACAGTCGTAAGTTTCTGTTTAAGTATGTAAGTTACGATAACCTCAGCGCTACGGTAACTTTGTGGAACGGACGCCCGAATTCTAAAGATGGGCCGTTGTATGGTATTGAATTAATATGTGTCAACGTTTGATGTGTTTGAAGTATTATTCTGTAAATCTCATTTGGATTACGTTGTGGATCGTGTAGGTGTCTGCCTCTTCATTCACGACAGTGAAATTCTAAAAAAAAAGTTATAAAAGGCAAGTAATTAATAAATTAAATACTAAACGAGCTCCCGTGCAATACCAATGAAACGAGTAAATAGTTCTGGTATTTAACGAGCGAAGATCAGGCTTGGTTACATTTAAGTGAACTTGACAAGTGATGATGAATTTCAATAGTCAGATTAGAGAGAGAGATGACAAGATGTCCAAATAACGCTCAACATATATATATGAGTGAGTGAGGCTTTAATTTGAGCATCTTGCCTGTTAGTCATTCAATCCAGTCATGATTCACAAATACACATTGTTTAGAAGGGAAAACAAATGTTATTGACAATTCATCAATAAATCAGTTGTATTTTTGTATACATGTATGTTTAAATAGGCTGTCAGTATCAAATATAACTTACGTGTCTACAATGTTTCAAGAATATGAGTACAATATATATACAGTGTACATGTGACACTCAACATATATATTATATTACAATTTCAGCTGTCGGGTCTTTATGTATACAATAGTAATTGGAGTATGGCCCTTGGAGGACTCATTGGTAGAGACAAGACCCTTACCAAGATTACTGAGAGATGAATACCACTTTTTGTTTCGAGATGACAATGAACCACTATAATTTAAAATTTAAACCTCGCAAGATAAAGCAGGAAAAATGTGGATCTTTTTAAATTCAGTTTTAAAACACCTATTTAGCAAATACTTTGAACAAGGTCAACTCCGTATGGGAAATTGCCGGAAATGCTTTGCCAATAAGTGCGTTCGTTTACAGTAAAACAGAAACACCGTTGCCATGAGACATAGTTCAATGTTATTATCAGATCATAGACATATTACTGGAAAACCCAGAATCCACATGAACATCACTAGCCATCTAAATGGAAATGTACGTTGGCCTGTCAACTCCAATTTACAATTTGTCGCGCATGAGGAACGCACATTAGTTTCCAAAAAGATTACACGATATTACATGTAATTAAAGTCACGTGTTGATAATCGACAAACAAGTCGTCGCGGAACACAGATAAAAAACCAAAGTCCTATAACAGTAAAGAGAAAAGAAACAGGTTACAAGTACTTATGTTGTACATGAACAATACAGTGTACTGATAAAGAACCTATGTATTAGAGTAAATCGTCTAAAATGCATATAGCTACCCAGAAATTATAAAGTAAAAGAGAAACAGTTTGGTAAGGAGTTAAAAGTAATACGAACTTTGAAACATGTTAACATTTAATAGCATGTAAAATCCATTCTGTATTTTGACAAGTTAAGGGAAGAAACATACTTTTAGCAATTATAATACTGAATCTGGTCACGTCCAAGAAGCATCCATTAATAGTATTTGCTTTAATATTGGATATTTAACATTAACGTGTAATGCATCTTATATACATACAGATAATTGTGATATTAAACATAACATGTGTTAAATACCGATATTAATGCTCAAATTAATAACAAACGACAATATTGCATTTATACCTTTGTCCCTATTCATTATTTTGTATATATATTGCAATTCACTGGAAGGTGCTATAAGCATTTTATTTCTTTTGTTGTGGCCAATATTGATATTGAATACGAATTTCAAAGCAAAATAAAGTCTGATATCATCAATATCCTAACGTAATATACAATTCGTACACACTGTCGTATATGCCTTCTGATAATATGATATGTTATTGATATTGACATGTGAATATGTTTTACCATCTAACAAATACCCATTATTACAGTGTGTATGATGTTCTCATTCATACAAATATATTGTATTGCATAATTCAACAAAGAATTCCAATTAAGATCTTCTTAGCTTGTACAGCTCTTACATAGAACATACTTATAGAATATTACAACATCTAATGGATAACTTTATAGTTGGCAACATCTGTTAAGAGAGAACTTATATATATATTGTCATTATATTGACATTGGACAAGGAACGATTTTGTAGAAAAAACACATATCACGTGTAAATTGTGCAGTTGGCAACATCTGTTTAGAGAGAACTTATAATTTGGACTCAAACACAGTTTTTATATTATTGGATGTTCGGCTTTGATTGAATAAACAGTGTGATATTCACATTCTTTTTCAGCGAACCGAACGCAAAATGGCATTGAATGTTACATTCATTTACATAGTAATGAAAATTAATACCTGCGTGATGCGTGTGTACAAGAATAATGTTCCTTATTTTGAGCAATTTTCCAAAACTTACTTCTGCTTCACTTGTATCTGAAGCACAGGAGTACACCCACATCACCTAATTTTACTTCTCAATTAAAGCCAAGATCACCCAATCATCGAAGAGCCCAGATGACTTAATATCTGTGACCACTGGACCACGGCTCCTCACTCTAATTAATTAAACAGGTGGTGCTTTCGGAGTACAATGTAGCTTTCATAGTGAGACATCTGACTGACGATTAATTAAAACAACACCGCAGATGCAGTGTTGGGTAAATACTTTCCAAATGTTTGTTTTTCATGATATATTTACGTTGTGGGTCAAATTCATACGAGACATTCTAGAATTTCATTCCTACATGGCGTCCATATTGGATCTGGTAGCCGTATTGGATTTGTTTGAGTGGCTCCACAGCTTACAATATTTGTGCCAGGTTTCATGATATTATCATAAAGTACACAATTGACCCTATATCTGCCACGAAACGGATGGACTATAATGATTTAAGAAAGAACATGAAAACATCGGCACATAACAAACCTGCAAATAAACTTCACTTAAGTCAATTTATTGTTAATAAATTACATAAAGTTAACAATTTGTGATGACAATATCAATAGATCGCGTCATATCATATCATAGATATACAGGCAGCAATGTGTCGTCGGCTGTCCAGCTAGTTATGAGAATGTTGTTATTTGACAATACTAGAAACAATATCTGCCTCGGCTTTTACCGCCCAATAATAAATAGTGTTTGCTGGTGACCTGAAGAAAGAAATGGTTGGCTCCTCCTTTTATAGAAAATAGTTGAAAGTTCTGAAGCGGTGACCGAGAAAAGATTATAACAACAAAACTCTGCGATTATTCATTCACAAAATAGTTTGTCCATGTCCGTCGCCACGGATTAGGCGTCCATGGCATCGCCATGTCCAGATGCACTTCCGGTAACTTCATCATTCTGTAAACACACACGGTTCGGTCCTCTTTTCTGTCACGAGCAAACAAAGGGCGAAGTATATCAGAGTGAACTGGGTCCGTAAACCAACATCACTTGTAACGGCCTTCATATCTCAGTCTGCGACAAACACACTTGCTCAGCACGTCCAAGACGGTACGATTCAGCCAGTCGGATCCAGGAGGTGGCAGGAACACCAAACACCACTTGGCCAGCATGACCGTCTGGTTATCTAGAGTCCTATATATCACTTTAGAACTATCTACCATGATATGCTGAATCGTAAGTATATAATGCCCATTCCTCTGTATGCATTGATAATTATTTCAGCAAACACAATTGCCTTGGTTATGCTTGATTTAAGTCGAAACATGTGAAACCTTTGAGTGACGTGTTTACTCGACTTCGCCGAATTAGCCCCTTCAAGGCTCCAAAATACAACCAGCTCAATGCCCAGTTGGTGGCACAAGTGAACCCATGTGAATATTTCAAAGGGCCTGTATGCATTTGAGTTGCATAATTCAGTATAGTCAATCAACAGTTTTCGAGGTGAATACTTATTTCGACTGGCACCGCCTTCTTTTTCCGCATCCATAGTTCCAGACAAATGCAGACAAGCGCCATCAGCACCGCGCTTCCACCAGCCAGGTAAAACATCAGAAGGTAGTTCCCTGTCACGTCCCTGATGGCGCCTGTGGGAGGATAAAGCATATTTAGCAACGTTGCTTGTACTTTTTTGTAAAAAACTGTTTTTTAAACGGTAAGGTGAGGTGAAATAGGGTTTAACGTCGAGTTCAAGAATATATGACGACGTGTGAGCGTGTACGTTCGTGCGTGTGTGTGGCTCTCGTACTTACCAGGACTATTGCCGGTTTTATATGCTATCCCACTGAGGTCAGATTAACATGGATACCCCACTTAGACACATATACCCCGAGCCCTAGTCCCTGTTTTATCCCCTTCACACTGATTGCCAGACAGAGTAACAAGTACAATTTTTTAACGTATTTTGGTATGACGCAGCAGAGAATCGAATCACCGACCTTCTACTCTACGGCAAGATGCACGATACGCCAGACTGCTGAGACGTTCTATTACGGATTCAACATCAACCTAACAGTTAATACCTACCCAAATTACTATATCACAGTTTCACTGATGCCACTAATACAACCTCGATTCAAAAACTGGTGGACTGAAGTTTCATCATAAGCTCACAAAACATTTAACGATTATGCTGAGCCAACTGCGAAACATGTTTTGTGCCGAGACATTAACACTGTCCGCTGTGTTCCTCGTATCACTTGTAAGAATCCCTGACAGGTCCAGACTCGATTGTTTTCAGGCCGCCGCCGTATGGCAACAGCGCTCTCTCGTTTAATGACAATATTCAAATTGCCCTTTCTATTTCAGAGGCGTCGTGTCACCTGTTATTACAGAGTGTCACTATACAAGCGTGTGGGAACCAGGACTGACATAGGCATTAGACTACCCCCCTCCGCCCCTCTAGAACAGAAAATCCGTAACCTGTCACTAGCGGTGTGTGTGTGTGTGTGTGTGTGTGTGTGTGTGTGTGTGTGCGTGCGTGCGTGCGTGCGTGCGTGCGTGCGTGCGTGCGTGCGTGCGTGCGTGCGTGCGTGCGTGCGTGCGTGCGTGCGTGTGTGTGTGTGTGTGCGTGCGTGCGTGCGTGCGTGCGTGCGTGTGTGTGTGTGATTCGGGCTTATACACAACGAGACCAAACGTCGAGAGCTGTACAGTCAGGTTTAGCTCATATAGTTCAGTACACTCTGCCAGTTAACGCATGTAACAAAGATATTCACAAGCTACATAGACTTATTTTGGGTGACATATCTGACATTAGATCTATCTGCTGACAAGTCACTGAACTTTCGGTACGGTAGCCCAAACAGGATAAATTATGACGTTACGTCAAATCAAGCGTTCAGGCGTCATGATTCATGTCGACCAGCCGACTTAAATGCTTTTTTCACAAGACTGCAAATGATATCTAATAGCTAGAATATTTAACGAGTAATGATAATGTGTCTTAAATGTCTTCCAAAGCTGTTTCATCATCAACTTACCACTTATAGGTCCACTGGAAATATCAGCAAAACCAGTAATTCCGAAGAAGTAGGATAAAGCGAAGGAATAGGATGTCGGGTCAGTTATCTGTACGACAATGATGGGTACAGACACTTCCACAACCGCCAGTAGTAACCCATGGCCGATTACAAGCGCCATCATCACGCCATATGAAGTGAAGTAGACAAAGCCAATGCTAAACAGGCCACATATCAGGAGAGACACTGAGCAGGAGATGAGTCCGGGTATGTGCGCCACTGTATGCAGCATCCCACCCAGGAGGTTACCGGGTACATAGGCCACAGTGAGGGCAGAGAGGAGGAAGGAAGCAGCCTCAAGGTCGTAGCCCCTGGTTCTGGCAACGTCGACGATGAAGACGATTTCCCCAGTGTAAAAACACCAGATAGGCATTTGAAGAAGTAGGAGTATCACGAACGGTCCATTCTTCAATAGATGAAGATGCAGAGCCCGGGCCAAGGATTTGGGCTTGGGGTCTGTTTCAGATTTGGTTTGGTATATAGGTTTCGTCAAGCACCGAATTATAAATCCAGAAACACACAAGTTGAAGTTGACGCCTGCTAAGAGGAGAAACGTGCCCCTCCATCCATATGCGTTGAGCGCCAGTCTGTTTATCTGCGGATACACGAACGCTCCAAGATTAGAACTGGCGGTGATGAGGGACACTCCCATGCCCTTTCTCTCTGCCAAGACGGCCCCCGAGGCCACGTAGGACGATAAATAGGAAAAGCAGTGCCCAATACCTGTAATATAGAAGTAAATGATGATAATTAGTGCATTCAGGACAGATAATGCTATCAAGTGATCCACCAGACTAGGTCCGAGGATTGAACTATCGTTTTGTAGTGATTACCGTATCTATGTGACGACTCCAATAACCCTCCTTATATTTGTCGTTTAGAACTTCCCCTTCTATGAGAATGTGTTATACATAATACCGGTATGTTAATAAAGAGAATAAGTATATTTAGGACATGTCATTTTCTCAAATAATTCGTCTATCTATGTCCGCTTTATGGTTCGACGATTGAATAGTGTAAGTGACCATCGTACAACCCTCCCTTTGTGTGTCAATTGTAGGGGGCACGGGTGGCCCAGTCGTCTAAGGCGCCGCGATTCGTTGTGCAGAGTTGCGTCCATTGGGCACTCCAGAAACCTATGATTGTGGGTTCGAATCCCGGTTCGCCCCAATTATATTTCTAGGTTTGTCAGCACCATACCCGTGCTCGTGGGTTTCACCGAAGTGGTAAACGTCTAAGACCTGCATCACTTCGGGCTTTCCTCCCACAATAAGCTGACACGCCGTGATATAACTGTAATACTGTTAAAAGCCGCGTTAAAACCCAACTCACTCACTCACTCATTGGGTGCCAATTGTAACTTCCATACCTTCTCTGGGCCCACTGGATTTGACGAACTAAATGGGCTCGTACACCAATTTTCCGTGAGGAGGCACGGGTGGCGTCCCTTGGGCACACCAGAAACCTATGATTGTGGGTTCGAATCCCGGTTTGCACCAATTATGTTTCTAGGTTATTCAGCACCATACCCGTGCTCTTGAGTTTCACTAAAGTGGTAAACGTCTGAGGCCTGCATCACTTCGGGCTTTCCTCCCACATTAAGCTGACACATTAATACTGTTAAGCGGCGTTAACCCCAACTCACTATTGTCCGTGAAATATGTTTGTGGGACTATCAGATCTGCTGTACGACCACGTATGGTTACTGTATGGTAACTTAAGATGTAAACGTGACAAGCAGATAACGTCATATGAAACACTATGACGTCATGAAGCCGACCGACTTGTATTGTTTTTCACAAGAGGGCGATTAGCCAGTCAGATTGCTGGATTTTTGTATTGTATCTATATACTTCTCGATATGCTGTAATTATTTTACATGTATTTTCAATATTTATGAGATCACTTCCTTACATGAATCAAGTGAATGCTACGGGTGAAAAACAACCCCATATCGCTTATTGCGTTAACATATTATGAAAGACTTCCAAAACATTTCTACCCCTGAACATCCGGGGTAGAATAGGTCTTCAGCAACCCATGCTTGTCGTAAAAGACGATCATGCTTGTCGTAAGAGGCGACTTACGGGATCGGGTGGTCAGGCTCGCTGACTTGGTTGATGCATGTCATCGTATCTCAATTGCGTGGATCGATGCTCATGATGTCAGTCAGTGGATTACCTCGTCAAGACTCGATTATTTACAGACAGCCGTTATATAGCTGAAATATTGCTGAGTGTGGCGTAAAACAAACGAACAATCCAAAACATTTCTGTAGAATATAACCTGTGATAAGTCCAATGGTGACGATGAGTACATTCACACTCGGGGCAAACGTTGCTCCAACACATCCGGCCAGGGATAATACACCGCCCAGTATCACCGAGTTTCCTGGGCCAATCGTAGCGACTATTGGTCCGCATACTAGAGCTGTAAGAAATAAAATAAAAACTGTATTTTGCGACTGGAATACTGGATTCTCACTCTAGTGCATTTCAATTTCAGAATTGGTTTTATAAAACTTTAACTAAAAAAAACCTATATAAACAGTAGCATATTGCGAGTCTGTTGCCATATCGCCTAAATGTTTATTTGTCAAAAGCTGGACATGTATAATTCATTGTGTATCCCCTTCGGGAATTAAATAACACCCAAAAACAAATTGTATTAAACAAACGTTTCAAAGTTGCACAGATATATTTCAAAAGAGTATGGGTGGGATCGTAAAGTTGGATTAGTGCAAGAAATTGAGTGGGTAAATAATGTTTTAACATAAAAAAAGTAAAACTGAAATAAAGTATATGATATTCACTCTTGTCTGGAATGTTAACAAGAGTGCCAAGTAGACACTGCTGAATGTCAACAAGGGTGCGGCATTTGTAATGTGGTTCTAACTCATGTACATTTAATAATTCAAGGGAAAACGAAATGAAAAGAAAACAAGGGCCAAAATAACGCATACCCCCTGTAAATATAACTCCAAAGCACAAGGACTGCATCAGTGACGTCTGTGTTCGACTGGCATCGAAAACGTCGAGGATTTCGACAAATACCACCCCCAGTCCGACGGCAAAACCCACGCTGAGGAAGGTGTTGCACATACATGACGCCAGTACTATTACCTTGGCCAATGACGTCAGTTCCGGTGACTTCGCACTGAGATAAGAAACGGATGAGGAATAAAATGATAATTATATTCTCAACAAAGAGTTAGAAATGCTGTTTTCCATGTTGAACTGGGCTATTTGTTGATTTAACCACGCTAATTGGAATTTGAAACCGAATGCCGATCATAATCGAGTGTTTTAAAAATGGTAGAATATGTATTAATGTCAATATATGGACAGATTTGAAACATTTCTTACCTTGATGATCCTTCATGGTCGGATGTTTGTGGGGTCTCCTCTTGTTTGGGAGCTACTTCAATGGGATGATAAACTTTAGATTCGGGTGGTATCTCTGGTACCACATTCATTTCTGTAACGCAGATGGCCTAGGTTATGATGATAGTTCGGATAACATTCGTAGAAAATATAGACTGAATGACACGACAGTGAGAGCCGTTTAACGCCGCTTTAAACAGCATTCCGGTTATGTCTTAATGTTGGAGGAAAGCCTAAAGTGATGCAGGTCTCAGACGTTTACCTTTTTGGTGAAACCCATGAGCAAGTGTACGGTGCTGACAAACAAAGAAACACAATCGGGGTGAACCCATGCAGAAACAGAATCAGTTCAGTTTATTCTCAGAAACCACAAAAGGTGGTACAAGAGCATATTACAATATATAATTATGCATATGTTCAAAAAGCAGACAAGATGGCAATTAATAACAACATGTGGTTACCTAGCATTTTTAATACTAATGGCGTTTTTACAATAAATCTCGATAAATCTTTTAGATCCTGTGTGTTTGTTGTTGATAAGAGTTTAACAAATTTTATAATATTTGACCATTCAGTATAATATGATGAGAGAAATGTTCGCCTCTCTCTTTTAAAATAATTACATCTGAATAAGTAGTGAAATTCATCAGCAATAGATGGGGAATTACATAATTTACAAGTTCTATTTTCCTTTGGAATATTTTTCCATCGGCCAGTCTCATTAGGTAAATTATGATTACAGGTTCGAAATCGTAGTATTGGAATTGCTATTCGTTTTGGCAATAGAAGATATTTATCGAGAACCGGAGTGTCCTTTAAATGTTTATAGTATAAGCCTTTAGAACTAGAATTAACGTCACTTCTCCATTTCTGGAAAAAGTGATCTTTAAGTATTTGCTCTACTTCTGACACTAGCCACTTTGTTGTGCAAATTGACGGATTGTTAAATACATAAGATAATCCAAAACTGTCTAATATATCCATAACACATCTAACCCAGGGATTTGTTGATGCAATAGTCTTGTTCCCGTTAATTGACAGATATTGATATAACAGCTGTGAAAGTTTATACACACCAGTTTGATATGTTAATTTGTGCCAGAAAGATATCATTCGTTTACAAATTATTATTCTTAATTGTAGCCTACCTAATTCGCCATATATCATATAACGAGGAGTTGAATTTCTTAATCCTGTGATGAGTCTGAGGAATTTGAGGTGTATTCTTTCTATAATTTCTAAATTTTCAAAGCCCCAGATTTCTGAACCATAAGTTAATATTGGTAATACCATCGCATCGAAAGCTGATAATACACAGTCCAAAGGTAAATTTAAATTTCTTGATTTTTTTATCATGCAAAACATTGCTTTCAAAGCATTATCACTGAGGGACTTAAGACTTCATACTAGTTTTCTATTCATGTGAAGTACAATTCCTAAGTGTCGACAGTATCTAGAGTTTTATCAGAAATAGTGAAATTTATGTTTCGAATTTTTCGATGGGCCACCACCGAAAATCACAATTTTTGTTTTATTTATATTTACATGTAGTTTCCACTCTTCACAATATTCATTAAAAGTGTTCAAGGCTTTCTGTAAACCTTCTGGTGATTTATCAAATAATACAGCATCATCTGCATACAATAGAATTATGAATTGGATCCATACAATTAAGTCTTTATCTTCATCACTCACTCACTCACTCACTCACTGATATCTGTCAATCCATCGGGACTGGTTGTTGCCTTTGTTATTATTCTTCCCCGGGGACACCTGGATGATATCCCAGAAATCTCTACAAGTTCGCGACCTGTGCTGCGCCAAGCGCATTTATTGTTAGTATAAAGGCGTATCGTCACATTGATCAACAAAATGAAATACAGTTTCGTTTTTGAAATAATAAAGGAATGTGGGTATCTTTGGGGATAGAATCGGTAATGGTGACGAAGTTTTGATAAGCCCGTGCTTGGTCCTGTGTATATGTTATAGTCAATGTGTAAAAGTTTCGCTTCGGTAGTATTTTACACGCATACATATGTAGTTATTTCACAAATGTGTCAAAATGACTTAACGTATCTAGGATAATTTAAGGAATGGCACGGTCGCCTGAAGAAGGTGGTTGGCAATGCTCATCCCAATATCTCTGAGTTCATATAATCCCTCCCAGCAGAGCAGACAAAAGACCCAATTTGAAGCAAATACAGTATACTGCTGATCAGCGCATTCCGGCGAAGAAGACAGATATGAAGAGATTGGTAGGCCATGAAATCGATATCATGCACTGTGTCGACAGTGCGACTTTCTGTCTTAAAATGTAAAATTTAATGTTAAACACGTTTGAAGAATTGGACTGTGTTTTTGTGTATGTGTTTTACAATAAGTAATAATGAAGTAATGAATGTACATCAATATATACGCTCATGAATGGTAAGTTGTATAACATCCATTTGAACCTTCAAATATGTACGCGACGACCCCAGTCTTAATCCGGATAAAACGAGGCACCTGCATGACAAAACTTCGCCCGCTGCCCCTGTAGAGAATTAGTGAAAAGCTCTGTACGTCACCGTCATGTACGGAAGCATTTTGGGGCCATTTGATTTTTAAAATTTCAAGATACTAAGATATAAAGCTTGAAATTTCGAGGTACTTACTTTGATTTTCAAGAAACTAAGTTGAAATTTCAAGATACATACTATGTTGAAATTTCAAGGTAATAAGTTGAAATAAGTTAATATCTTGAAATTTCTAATTAGCATCTTCATGATAAGTTGCAATTTCAAGGTATTATCTTGAAATGTCATGATCATTATGTTGAAATTTAAACATAGCATCTTCAAATTTCAACTTAGCATTTTGAAATGTCAACTTAGCATATTGAAATTTTAACTTAGTAATATTGAAATTTCACCTAAGCATACTGCAATTTCAACTTAGTATCTTTAAATGTCAAGACAAAAAAAACAACGACAAAAAATGGCCCTTAAGGTCTTCCGTGGTCCTCCGACTCAAACGTGCGTATATTTGTATAAGCAGGGGGTCATTGCACAAAGTAATTAATTGAAATTCTAGACAATAAGCAAATGACAAAGTGTTTCACTTTTACTTTGAAATCAGATGATCTAGACTCCAGCCTTAGGTACGTCATATGAACTAATTGTAATGACGGAGATAAATGCCAACATTAAAAGGATAAAATATGAGTTTGCGCGTACTTAACATGAATCAAAATGAAACGCCCTTTATAATCAAATCTCCGTATATTATTATTAACCATCGAAATTGTGAACATCTTTTACATCTTATGAAAAAATAATATATATTGTGTAAATCCAACTTAAACAAAATACTGACATGACGTACAGGACGAGTAAGTGCGTTAGATATCATCGTGGTATTTGTAGCTAGACAGTGCCGAAGACCCCAAACAACATACATATTCGCATTATTGAAACTCGGGTTCCGCAACTATCAAATGAAATTACAAAACTGAAAATATACTCACTAGGTTCGATTACACATGTGGCCTTTGTGTGAGAGTGGTTGAGACTCCAACCACGACAGGTGTTCTTCATGTCAAGGGATAAAGATTGTTACGTAATAATCGCTTACTAATTCCGATGAACTCACCACACATCCGGTAGGCTGCCGACTGCCCTTTATTTCTGGGTATTGCTATTATCGCTTTGCACGGACTTGTAGAATAATACTCATAATATATATATTGAGTTTTAAACAAAGAATGGCTTACGATTTTTATTGAAAGGTTTGAAAGGATACCTCTTTCAATTATATTTTAATTATTCGTGTTGACGTCTTTTATTCCGTACAGTTATGTAGGCCATAAACCCATAAGAACAATACTGGTTACCACAGATATATGCTTCATATGCTACAGACGGCTGTACTTATTTTGTACATTCCATGATGAACAAACATTGCAATATTTTGTATTAAATTCTCATATACATGTACATATGACAACATAACACACAATCTGGAATATTGCTGAGTGCGGCGTTAAACAACAAACCATCAACAACAACAACAACCAACACAATCTATGTCTAGTTGGAGATTTGTAATATTGTGGTATTCATTTTCATCGTAGTGTCATAGCGACCGAATTGGGACAAAGGCTAATTACCCTGCAGCCATGATGTGTATATGTCTAGAATCTAGAAATGGATTAGTAAACAATCGAAGCGCTTATGTTAATACCACTCCATTACAATTAAGACACGATGCAATAAATACATCAGTGAACGTTAGATTAACAAATGAATTGCACATGCCAAGCTAGATGTGTGTATATGAGAAATATATTTGCAGTTTATGTTAAACAATTCATTTAATTGAACATCTGCCAGTTTTTAATACGAAGTTTTGAATAGAATCTAATGTTTGGATTTGCTCTTCTTTACTCAAATGCGAATTTCTGCATAGCACTGTGTGTAAAGAATAACCTTGTTGGTAAAAATACATTTCATTTCGAAGAACTTAGTAGTTTGTACACACAAAAGTGTAAAGCATGCTCGGTATGATATCCACAGGAACAGGTTTTAGTATGCAATATGTCTATCATACTGATCTGCGTTAAGATCGCTGCAGCCAAGCCTGATGCGAATCTGAATAATTTGACATGCTAATTGCCATTGTTAATCCAGAAGTATTGTACATTGACTGTCTGCCATCCTGAACGAGCTGTGCAACTTTGACATTGTTTATTTCCATAAATAACCACTCACAGTGGTACATGGACATAAATGCAAGAAATAGATAACGGAGGCATTCACCAAATTGCATCCATCGAATATGTTAGCGATCGTACATCTACATCAGTATGTTCTATTATTACCCTTACCTGAGAGTTGTGCGTCGGGGTGCATGGCAGTATAGGATGGCAGTCGTTAGTTAGTTACTTGAATGGCAGTCCGGGGGTCCTGTCGCTATGTACTTGTCCGACATGAAATGACAGGTTTTAGGGTTTGTGATTTAGTTAGTGTGGATGATTTTAAGAGTGTTTGTTGAATGGGTGATAATTACTGCTGACGCTATAGATGTAAACATTCATATAATGATGGCAGCAAAGGACAGCCGAAGAGACAATGGCGTTGCCACCACGAGACATGTGTATGGCTTTTACGAGACGGCTAAGGGTATAATTCACTATGTCTATAAATGTTATGTAATCAGTCCTGTAGCGAATCCCTTTCTGAGCAACAGACCGTATCATTGCATGATTTATTGTGGGCACAATGGAACAGGACTGTAGGCACGTGTAGCTCTTAATCCCATATGACAACACCAAGGTCGGGGGCACAGTGAGCTAGGCTCAGGATAAGACCTTATATTCAAGGTCACCCGACAAGGATTAAATCATAAATATAAACAAGCGAACTTTATCATGTACACAATCAATGGTTGCTGTCCACTATAGAAAGTAGGCTTAGAGACAAGTTTGTTGAGGGGTGGCACAACGATCAAACTATGTCATCAAGAGGAAAAGTTCACTCTTGTATCAAACCAGAATTCGGCCTTGAACCCCATAGTTATATAAATAATATAAACTTGTTACCATTGACTAAGTTTAGAACCAGCAATCACCCTCTACCTGTTGAGAAGGGACGATGGATAGATTTACCCTTTGTTGATAGGATCTGTCCATGTTGTAATACATCTGTCGGTGACGAGTTTCACTACTTGTTTGAGTGTATATATTTAGAAATTGATCGTCAGCGCTATCTTAAAAAGTACTATTATGTCAAGCCTAATTAACAACTATTTACGTCCCCTAAAGTCTCAGTGTTAAGAATCATAGCAAACATCTACCATTGGACAGTGAAACCAATTAAAAGTGAGGACATAGAAACCTTAAATGAAATAGGCCAAAAATCCACCATTTTCTTGGGGGACCTGAACGCCCACCAACCCTTCTGGGGCGTGAAAGATTAAAAAGATCAACACTGTAAACTAATCGCGGACAGAACAGAAGAAAAAAATAATACTCCTAAACAATAATGAACCAACTAGATATAATAAAATAAATGACACTATGTAGGCTATAGACCTAACAATATGTACCCCCGACCTCGTCCAGAGCACTTCGTGGGGGAGTGTATGAGGAGCCATTTGACAGCGACCACTTCCAATTCATATAACAATAGGAAACAAAAATTTGGAAAACCCAAATGAACCCCAAGAACCAAACTTCCATTCCAATAAGGCAGACTGGGACAAATTCAAAACATTATGTGAACAGGTAAACCCATACAGATATGCTAGATACAGGTAGGAGGCAATGTTTATACAATAGAGTAGATGTCAGATGTAGTTATACTGGAGCGGAGAAGACTGTTAGGTACACGCAAGGGTGGTAATGACAATCATTGGTGAAGTCAGTGACATATACAAAGGATGAAGCCAGTAATATAAACAACGGGGTTATGACTGATTGGGGTCTTTGATGAGTTGATGGTACGCCGGGGGTATGTACTAGCCTTGGTCACGGTTGATTGACGGTTGGAGTCTTTTGACTGGTTGGAGTCTTTCCTGTAGTTTTCTGATTTTGAAGTCTTTGAGGTTGGTGGTGAGGGCTTTGACTTTATCCCACTGAATGCTGTGGCTTGGGCTGTCATGGATGTGGTCTGATAGAGCTGATTGAGAGTTATCTTTGGAGACTGAGCTTTGTTGTTCTTTAATTCGGCTTTTGAGGGGCCAAGATATTTCTCCTATGTAAGCTTGTCCACAATTGCACGGAATGTGGTACACTGCTCCTGGTGGTTCTAGCTTGGGGCTGGATGGTGGTTTCCCTGTTGCTTTTATTGTGTTCTGAATGGTATGACTTCTCTTGAAAACTACATCAATGTTGGCCTGTTTCTTTAAGAGTCTCTGGAATTTGTGGCTATCTGTTCCAAAGTAGGGGAGGCTGATCACAAAGGATAGACTAGACCACCCGCAAGTGTGGGTTCGAATCCCGGACGGGACTCAACCCCCCAAAAGTACGAGAATCTGTTCTCCACTAAGAAAGTGTGATCCCAAATATAACCACTTTCTAAATGGCATTGTGTATTCTTAGCTTTCGGCCATGGGAGCCGTGCAAATTTACACTTGTCAGGGGGTACGCAAAGTACGTGATCTAGACTACCAGTTGTCGGATATTCATTTTTGTGGAAGCCTCGGTGGCTGAGTGGGTTAGATCGCTGACTGTGTATGCTGGCAACTGGAAAGTGTGGGTTCGAATCTCGGACGGGACTCAACCCCCCCAAAGTACGAGACTCTTTACTGCTTTACTGAGAAAGTGTTATCCCAAATATAACATTTGTTACAACATTATGGTATCTGTGGAAATGTTTTCAGACGGTTCGATAGTTACTTATGTGTAATGGAATTGTATTAACATAAGCGCTTCGCTTGTTTACCAATCCATTTTTCACATTTTTGTGAAAATTAATATGTTTAAACCAGAAGGGATAGAGATTGTCTTCGGGGTGGCCTTGTGGTCTATTTTCGTGGTTCATTGAGTGTTAAACATAGAATAGGTTTAGAATTAGACAATTATGAAATAATGTGGTTCCGAATATATCTGCATCAAAAGAGTGTGTGATTGTGTGTTAGATATCGCCCTCCCAACACCCCTACATCATATTGAGATCATCTCGACCACTCAGTACAAACATCCCTGGACATTTCATGCAGTACTGATTGGAGACCTTAACGAAGGTTTGTTGAATAACAATGACACCACCTTCACGATACAATGGTGAGTAAAGATCTACGTAATCTCATTAAATCGTCCATACGTATTACACAAACCTCGGCTGCTCTGATGGTCATCGTTTTTCGTATTGCTGTAAGCCAGGACAGCGAAACTGTAGAAGCCAGCGTTTTAGACCTTATCGTCGATTTCAGTCACTACAATGTTTTTCTGTTACTCTGTCCAATTGTACCAATTGTACCAGAGTCTTATGTAAGAGATGTTTTACTTTACGAGCAAGGTGAACATCAACGCTTAATCCAGCTTATTGTTTCCACAGATCGATGTTTGACTCGTGACGCCCTTACATTAGCACGGAGTCATCACGTAAAAGAGTACGTGCCTTCCAGACGAGTAATAATAAGGCCAAGGGTTAAACCCTGGTATAACAGCGAAATTCGACGAGCAATTCGTATCAGAGAAAAACTATAATCAAGCTTTTGTCCCGTGTTTGGGAACTTGATTATATAATAAGAGGTGAGGTGAAGTGGAGTTCAATGTCGCGTCCAAGATTATTGCACGTATATAGCGACCTGCATGCACGTGTGTGTGTTTGTGTGGCTGCTTGTACTCGTCCGGACTGATGCCGATTTACAGTGCTAGCTAAATGAGATACCATGCCGCAGTTTAACATAAATACCCCACTCAGACACAGTATACTGACTCCGAGCCGAACAGTCCTTGTTTTAGCCCCTTAATGCCGAGCGCCTGATTGGGTAACAACAAGTACCATCTTTTAACGTCTTTTGGTATGATAGAACCGGGGATCGAACCCGGACCTTCCGCTCTCCGGGCGGACGCTCTACCACTGGACCACAGAGTCGGTCTCTTAACAATAAGAAGAACGATTACGGCCAAGCAGTTTACTGTCAGTGGTGTTGTGTTTTATAATACAGAATACAAGAGATAGAGTACCAATATATGGTACATAGAATGATAATAGTATGAATACATGAAACATATAGAATAATGATCGAACGATCGAATAAGCAACGGTTGTAATACTTGAGGGGGAAGGTAGGTAATATAGGGGATATAGCTATAGGTAGAGCTAAGCACACTTTCATGTCTAGAGACAGCATTACATCATGACACCAACATTATGACCTGTGACTGCATTTGTAAGTCACATCACTATAAATACGCTTGGCTTATTACGTCTGAAGTGAGACGCGCTATTTACTAAATGTAGATATACATAATTATACGCGATAAACGATAATAGCAATAACCTCAAACCAAGTATAATAAAACATTTAGCTGTAGGATATGAACGGTATTGATAATCATATAATTATCATTTGCATGGAGTTGACCTATCACGATGTTAGATTTGACTTCTAAGTACATCAATGCTTTGTCATCGTGTGTATCAAAATAGAATACAGTACCAGTGAGTGATTGAGTTTGGTTTTACGCCGCTTTTAGCAATATTCCAGCAATATCACGGCGGGGGACACCACATTCACACATTGTACCCATGTCGGGAATCGAACCCGGGCCTTCGGCGTGACGAGCTAACGCTTTAACCACTAGTCACCCGACCGCCCCTAATACAGTAACAGTTTCTGTAACGGCCGAACATTAGATATACAGACTAACTGTCTATGTCTTTATCGTTCAACATACCTCACCATTAACGTTACTTTCATGATATTTATTTGATATATATTGTATTTTGATACTGTGTATATTCGGATATTGATAATGGATAATCATATTCAAACAATAGGGAATTACTGCTCATGAACGGACACATGTGGTGCAAAACACATTTAATAAAACATACAAAGTATAGTAAACATCTATCATAATACATACAAGTTCTGGTAAACAAATATCTAAAACACACAAGTTACTATGTATGACCTTTCATACGTACATATATAGGTAATAATGAACGCTTCATTATTTAAACACACAAGGGACCCGTGCACATGCACAGCGCAAATATGTCTCTACCATCTTACATTAGATTGTTAAAGTTAACCACCTATGAAAACATAGACTATCCAGAATATATCACACACACATATATATATAATATAGGACCAAATTATCAAATAATAAAATTTATTTATTACCTTAATAAGAAGAAAAGGAACGATTACAGTCAAGCAGTTTACTGTCAGTGGTGTTGTGTACTGACCAGTGGAGATGCTTGACTTTTATAGTAATCGCCTCGTATATTTTGACTTTGAGTGATTCCCTAGTCAGTGAATTGTGCATTGTCTTCATCTAAATCTTGACCGACGATACGTCACGAGGTAATGATTCTGTATTATTACATAATAATAGCTTCTACGCCGATGCGACTGCGGCCTCTGGACAATAGAATTCAGTGAACGCGATGGGTTTGATGTATATGTCTTACTTCACTGTAGCCTGCTATGTAGCTGTCAGTGTTCAGTCTGACACGTAAACGTCTACAAGATTTAATTCCTTGTAGATATACTGTAGGTAATGAA